AAGGGGAAAAAAAATGCAAAAAAAATACAAAATCAAAAAGAAGAAATTGCGAAAAAATGCAAAAAAATACAAAACCAAAAAGAGAAAAAAGGGGCGGGGCCACGAAATGACGCACCGGAAAGGGAAAACGACACGCCGGAAGGGGGAAAAAAATGCAAAAAGAATACAAAATCAAAAAGAAGAAATTGCGAAAACAATACAAAACCAAAAAGAAGAAAAAGGGGCCGGGCCACGAAACGACGCTTTCTTGCTATCCGACGGCGGGCGCGTTTGGATATTGATGCGCATCGACGCCCGCCGTGTACCCGGCTCCGCGGGCGCGCTCTCTCGTTTAGTGGCGCGCTGTGAACAATTCGGTACGCACGCCGCTCTGCACAACGCCCCTCCCTCGATCGCCTTCATCCGCCGGCCCGAATCAAAACTTCGAGCCGATTCCGGCGCGTAGCGGAACACGACCTCCCCCCCGCGGGCCCACCGCGCTTAAGGGGTAGGATATATATTATATATATATATGTGTAATGAATATATATATATATATATATATATATATATATATATATATATATATATATATATCATAGATTTATGGTGCCACGTCAGCACTAATGAGGATGTTGTCAGTTGATTGATCATCATTATCCATCACCTTGACTCCATATTTTCCCCTCCTTAAGGGTTGGACCCCACAGCCGCGTGGAAAGAAATTTGGTTTCCAAAACCACTTCGGCGAGACCCCACACAGCCGCGCGGCAAGAAATATGGTTTCCAAAAACACTTCGGCGAGACCCCACAGCGAGCGGATTCGGTCTTCGGGAACATGGGAGTAGTGTTTCCACTCCGGCCACGGGCCCTTCGTACCCCCTCACGACAGCACTTCCCGGTGGCGATGGAAGGGTGGGGGGGGGGGGCATCCCCTTCGATGCCGACGGAGGGTCGTGGACTGCGTTCGTGTGCGGACTTCCAGTGGTCCAAGCAGGTGATCCACAGCCGTACCAGGACAAGAAGTGGGTGTCACACAAGTGGAAGGCGTGGTTGATGTATCTTTTTTTTTCGGGGGGAGGGGGGGTACCGCGAACGACCCTTCGTAGGCCGAGGAAGGGTCCAACACCTTGCGTTGGGGTCATCCATGCTCCCTTCCCGCTGGTGGCGCGCGTCGTCTCACATAACGGTTCAAATTCAAAATTCAAAGGGGGAGGCTGGGCGACTTTGGCGGGTGGGAGGATTTCAAAAAGGGTTGTAGACGACGTGAACGACAACCAAAAAAAAAAAAAAAAAAAAAAAAGACAGGAAAGGGACATCCGCTGCATCGACCATTCGAACGACTACTGTCTCGTGCATGTCCCATGCAAGCGACAAGCCGGGCAGCCGTTGCCAACCTTCCACGATCATTCCAAGCGCCATACCTCAGGCTATTCGAAGGCGTGCAAAGGGTTCATGCAATCCTAGCGGCCCTGTCACCGCACATTCCACATCGTCGGGCTGTAGGAGCAGCTTGAGGAGCGTACCTTGGACATCGACTGCTTCCTCCGATTGCCAATGGTAAGAGCAACAAGGCCGACGCGCGCGGCGGGGGTCTCCCGAATGTGGCAGCCCGAGTCCCGCCCATCTGCAGTGAGGTTCGTGAGGACATCGCCGTGAGGGGCGTCATCCCCTCAAGACGGACGAGAACATCACCTGCATGCGTGCCACGTTGCAGGCTCCTTGCTCACTACGCATCGGCCATTGGTCGGTGTCATCTCCCGATTTCCCAGTTCCCCGTTCCGGCCCGACGTGTCCTCCGGCCACGTCAGTTTCCACCCGCAACCGGTTCAGCAGCACAACAGCCGACAACCCTGCAGCCACGTGTGTCTGCGGCATTGACGACGGCAGAGGCGCCGGGGATCAACCTGCCTGGCAGCAGAGGTCATATCTGGTGCTGCTGCGGAAGGGGAGCAAGCTCCACAGATGTCCGTAGTCCTTGCATTTCCCTTCATCCCACAGTCCTCTTCATGCTAGGGTTGTCGGTCATCCTTGTCATTGCCATCTTCCTGGCCTGTGTTGTTCTCCTCCTCGCTCTCGCCTTTTGCGTTGCCGTTTTCGTCCGTTTCTCGTAGGGGACGAAGGTCACGGTGTTTTTGCATTGTCATCTGCTTTGTGAGCATGGACAGATGACATTAGGTTGAGGACGGCGAAAACGGAGGCATGGGACGTTCTCGCCAGAGTTCCCAACAATCGGCGCAGTATCAAGGCTTGCACTCCGTTCCGCCATCCACCCGCTTATCCATGCTGAGTCAGGACGCTGACAAGTTCGGTGTCCCTCCCACCTTCCCCGCGGCTGTTGGGCAACTGCCGGCATGGGGGAACGATCCGCCCGACCTCCGAGATGTGCGACCGGGTCATGTACCTTTCTACCATGGTCGAGATGACCATGGGGGCGTGACCGGCCGCGGCAGTTCGTCTGCCGCTATGTACGCACAACTGACTGCCGCTCACATGCCCGTGCACGGGGGCAACACGATCGTTGCAGGCAGTTTCACAGCGGCGCTGTGCAGGGAGTACGAAGATCCTTTCTCCGGTGGTCTCCGTAGACGGATGTCAATGGACGATCTGTCAGGACCACAGCAGTGTTACGGGGTGACATCCAACCAGCAGTGGAATGGCGGTGTGTACATCCATGGACAGAATGACTTATCGAGACGTGGGGCACAAAGCGGGAGTGGGCAGGGGACATTGCCACAGGGAGGAACGCAGGGGCATGGGCAATCACAAGCGACGATGGGGGCGAACGTGGACAGTGGCAGTGGTGTGCGTGAGGGGCAGGCGTGCTCTCATGCAGGCCCCCAGCAGGTCACAGTCGAGGCTGGGTCGTCCGAGTCCGTCGATCGTTTGCGTGCCGGCTTGCCACCGGCCAGCCGTGGTGAGGGAAGGGGGCGAGGTGAAGGTCGACAAGGCACAAGTGACAGCAGTGGACAAAGCGGTCGGGCAAGACAACCGACACGGGGAGGACGTGGCAGAGGAGGGTGTACTCCACCCTCCTCTGCGTGCCCTACGGAGGCGAGTGGGAGTGGAAAGGACATAGGGGGGCAGGAGACCAATGAGAACCCGACAACAGTTGACGAGGGAATGCGTAAAGGAAAACCTCCTGCCAAAAAGATAGTGCCTTGGACGCTGGAGGAGTGCTTGGCGTTAGCGAAATGGCAACGTGAGGATGACGCCATGATGGCAGATGCGTCCGTCAGGCACAGGTGGATGAAGAAGGGGGAGAGACAAGAGTGGGTGTCCGAGCGCATGACAGAGGAAGGGATTATGAGGTCCGCTGAGGACTGCAGGAAAAAATGGTTTAACCTGGGACAAAAACTGAAACTGCTTGTGGATAAGGTGGGGCGGTCAGGCCATCAATCGTATTGGGATATGACCGAAGAGGAGAGAGAGGCCGAAGGTCTTTATGCCACATTCGATCGACGTCTTTGCCAGGCGATGGAGTGGATGTTGCAAAGACCGTCTGGGACGTGTGATGAAGCGATGAACTCGAACACCATGGGTGGAGCTGAAGCAGAAGGCATGGGGGGAGGTTCAGGTGACCAAGCAGGGTCAGATAGAGGAGGGTCCGACACGTCGGGAAGTAGGTCGAAGTTCAGGCGAACCAGCGGCAGCAGAGTCCATGTTGGAGATGACCCATCTTTTGTGTCGTCTCTGTGGGAGCTGCCATGGCTGAGTCCATACATGTATACGTGGAGGGTTTGGATAGAGCCGCGGCGACGATTGCTCACGCGAACAAGGAGGGTGCGACCATCGTCGCCGGGAGCATTGGCGAAATGGCGACGCAAATAGGTGCAGTCGCATCAGCCATGGGTGAAGGGAACGCTGTGCTGCAGCTCCTGGTTGGTGTGATGGGTGCCCGGAATTCGGGCGGACCGCGGAAGATCGGGGGGTGTAAGAGCACCGATCCTTCAAAGCGGTGGGTAATGAAGAGGCTGGTAACAAACGGTACAGGGTACGAAACAGATGTGGGAAAGTAAAAAAAAAACAGGAACGCAGGAAAAAAAAATTAAAATAACGGGGTTGTCACATCC